CGGGGGGGGGGGGGGGAGCACAAAATCCACTAACCCTGGAACCCAGAAGAAAAATGTGGCCTGAGGCCCTGAACCTCAGTCCTCCATGTCCCCCTTCCCCCCACCATGGGACTGGAGAACCAAGAGAGAAGTGTTTCAGTTAGGGGCCACAATCAGTGTTGCTTGGGTGGGGGAGAGAGGTTAGAGGGTTTTTGTGTTTTTTCACTTGTGTGGTCCTCAACTGATTGATTTTTCTGGGGGTCAGTGGTCCCTGACCCAAAAAAGGTTCCCCACACCTGCCATAAAGGTAATGTTGAAACCTTTTGTGTTGAACATAATATTTTGCTTTATTTAAAAATGAAGCCTGGCCAACAAGCCCCCATCTTGCCACAGTGTCATAATACTCCTGGACCCCTCTGTCCCAACCCTGAGCCCATCATACACCTGAACCCTCTGCCCTGAGTCCCTCATATCCCCATACTCCCCAAACTCATGCACTCTCACCTCCCCAGCCCCTTGCCAGAAGATTGACAGAAGACCGCCTGAATGTGTGCATGAAGCTGGATTTGACCAGTTATGATGTAAACTTCAAAGAAACATGCAAAAAGATGCAGCAGCAGAAGTCCCGTTAAATAATCTGTGAGCCTAATATTTCATTTATGCTATTATTAATCATGTCAGTTATCAGTAATATTGTTGTATATTTACAGTCATGCAAATAGGCATTCTTCTATGGCTCTTTGTTGATCACTTGTTCTAAATTTTGATGTAGTTTGGCTTTTTGGTTTGAAAAGGTTGCTGCCCCCTGCCCTAGCCAGTCAGAGGCTGGAAATGGGTGACAAGAGAGGGATACTATGAAGATTACCTGTTCTGTTCACTCCCTCTGGAGGATCTGGCATTGGCCACTGTCGGCAGCCAGGATACTGGGCTAGATGGACCTTTGGTCTGATCCACTATGGCCATTCTTGTGTGTGTGGTGTTGGTGGTGGTGGTGACAACTTTGGGTTCTGGACTGGATCCAAAGGCTTGTTGAAAGTTGATTTAATATCTTGTTGGAATCATTTTGTCAGGTAGGAATGTAAAATCCTATTAATCAGTTAACTGGTTAAACATCAGGTTGACCTCATGCTTAACTGATTAGCTGACTAAGCGGGGTCCAGAGCAGGCCCCAGTCTGTGGGGCTCTTGCCCCTAACCTCGGCCTTGGGTCTGGGGCAGCCACTTGCTCCTAGCCCCTATACTTGGCTGGCTCCCAGCCCCTGTGAGTGGGGGTTGTGACTGGTACTGGGTCCTGTGAGAGCAACCTCTGCCTATGGAACACTTGGGACTCCTGTGCACAGAGTCTGCTCCAGATGCCGAAGCAGCCCCTGACTTCAGGGTAGTTGGGCCCACCATAGACAGGGGCAGCTGCAGACAAGAGCAGCTCTTGTTTGTGGTGAGCCCCCTTTGGGGGTGAAGCAGCCCCCTTCCAGTGGTTAACTGGAACAGGTAAGCATTACCCGTTTAGGGTGATGTTTACAGTTAACCTTTCACATCCCTATTGTCAGCTAATCAGTAGATTTTTCTATAGTATAGTAGATCAATGTCCTGTAGTGACAATGAACAATGCTGGACCTTTGCTAAAGATTTTTCTGTACCTTTGGGATTTTAACTTAAACAGCAAATAGTCTAAGTTGCTATTACCATCTACATGTTTTGTTAGTATATCATGAGCTTTCGTG